AATCATATCAGACAGGAAATATCATTTGGACTGATATATATTGTTATCAATTTAGAACAAGCAAAACAACTTCTATATGTTCTTCTATTCCTTGTATCTTTTCTATTTTAACTACATTGTCGAGAAGAAAATAAGAAAAAAAAAGGGTGTACGAAGGAAGCATAGGGAAGGGTGATTATGATTTCAATTGAGGCCATGTAATGGTAGTCTCCTAATTTTTATTCTCAAGTTAAGTCTACTACAAATTCTAGATCACACAAGAAAAAATCCTCTTCCAAGGGATTAGTTTCAAAACCAATCATTAACAGATAAATCGCGGCAATTAACTATCCAACTTACTGCATCTTAGCCATTTTTGCAGGATCACCTCCCCCGCGGAACTTTCCAAGCTCAACCTCCATGTTCTCTTCCTCCTCTTCGTCGTCATCTTCCTTATTCTTCCCAACCAGGCCAGTGGTCCCCACCGGCACAGGCCTGGAAGCTGGGACTGAAGTACTTATATTTGCATTTGTGTATACATCTTCGCCGCCAGCCTTGGTGGGACCCACCGAAGTCTGCATTTCCTTCTCATTGACAGCAACAGGGGATTCGGGAGGTGTCTCCTCTTGCTCCTCAAAAGCAACCTCAAATGGGTCCTTTGATTTCTTCATACCACTTGGCTGCAAATGCACATCATTTGCAAATTTCCATCAAAAGGAATACGTCATGTCGTATAAATGGAAAAAAATAAAAATAAAAAAAATAAAAAATAAAAAATAAAAACTAACTTTTCAAATCCTAAGCTTGGCCTATTAGGTATATCCATTTATTTGGAATGCCAAGTGATAACAAGCAAATTAGGGCAATCATATACAAAAACTCTTTGCTAATGGTATTATCAAATTTCGATTGAACTAGCAGCGCAGTCTATAAATATAAAGCCAAAAATATCCAAAAATCCCGACATACAATTTTCGAAACCAAACTAAAAGTAAAAGCCCAGATAAATTGAGCTAGGCTCAAACAAAACCCATCTTTCTTTTTACTCGAGAAACAAGAGAAAGTGGAAGAGATGAGAATTAACAACTATCATCGACACAGTGGCAGTGATACCAGCGTAAATTAGAATAATGACAAGTAAATAAAATAAATAAAGAGTTACCGAGCTACACGGGTAGAGTTTATGGGAAATTGGGGATTTTGAGATATTCAGCCGATAGGCAGTGAAAGTACGTTACCGGCGAGGAGCAGCGCACAGATTGCTGTGGCTCGTGAGGGGAGTGGAGGAATTGAAAGAGGAAAGAGCTATTTATATGTCTCTGAAGATGAGTAATCCGGGTTGGCCCTTTGTTAATCTAACGAGCACGAGTTCCTCGGTAATGTTCGTCAACAGTAATTTAATATAATTGATTCAATTAGGGTTGGTATCGGTTCGGTTACCGAACCGATAAGGCCAAACCGATACCGAACCGCCATTTTCGGTAACAATAAACTAGGGAACAGAAACCGTTCCAACTTACAGTTGGTAACCGAATTTTTGGTTACCGAAAACTCGGTTCGGTTTTGATTCGTACAGAAAAAAACCGAATTAGCAAGCATGAGTGCATTGGGCCTGCAACACTTACTGCAGCCCAGTGGGCGCCAAGCCAATTACAAATCTGTGATGAGAGACAACAGATAGCAGACTAAGCAGACTAGCAGAGTGCCCAAAATATGATGCCCAAAAATCCAGAATATGATGCCCAAATATACAAAATGCACTTTGTTCTGCATTCAAGTTTCAATAACATTCAAATTGCAGGCATAAAATACGGAATACCAGCCCTAATTTTACAAGAATGAGAAAAAAAGATTGCAGCATAAATACCAGCTGAGGACTGACAAAAGCGACTCCGACGAGTGACAGAAGCGGACGGGCAATCGCGGCTCCAGTTGACAAATTGCGACTACCAGTACCAGCCCTACGACCCCTACCTTCGAGCTCGGCTTTGTGAATGAACACTCGCGCGCGAGATGATCAGTGAACAACCGCGAATTGAGAACTGAGGTGTGAAATTTGTGAATCAGTGGAATAAAAAATTCAATCGTCACTCGGCCTCTCAGTTTGGTGTTGCTATTTGGGTTTGGAAATTTTGGGTTTGGTTGGGGCACGGGAACGGGATTTGGCAATTTTGATTTTTGGGTGGGTAATTTTTTTTTTTTTAAACCTAACTTAACCTAAATGTCTACTAAATCTGTAAATGTTATTTAACAATACCAGCCATAATAAAACCTGAGTATTGTGCCCGACATATATAAGTTAAATAGACTCGCGTAGGGATGGCAATGGGCCAGGTCGGGCCGGGTACCTACGTACCCAGACCTGGCCCGTGTTTTTGCCCTGTGGACCCGACCTGGCCCGTGACCCGTGACGGGTCAACAGATCGGACCCGTGCCCTGACCCGTTTCGGGGCAGGTCGGCCCGACCTGACCTGTGGCCCGTGCCTGACCCAGTTCGACCCGCCTTGACCTATGTTTTTTGCTCCATTGTTGCAATTTAGCAACACAGTTGCAGCAGATTGCTGCTTCACAACAGAAAAAGAAAAAGAAAAAAAAAACAACTGAAAAGTTACATATGCACAGCACAGCAATTCATCTTCCTTTTAAGCCATACCAAATCCATCCTAACTCAAGATAACAACACAGCAATTTATCCTAATTCCTAAACATAAATCCATCCTAACTCCCAGTCATACCAAATTCCACAGCAATTCAAATCACAAGAAATATATTTCAATTTCAACATCTTAAGTTCTTAACATCTAATTACATACTAATACACGATAGCATTGAACATTTTTTTTTTTTTAAATCTGAAATTGGAGTCGAGTCGGAGGCGGGGCGTCGAACCTTTATGTCGGAGCCTCGGAGGTGAGGCGGGTCTTAGAGGCAAGGCGAGGAGCGGCCGGAGCTTTTGGGTCGGACTTCGGAGGTGAGGCGTCGAGCGGTCGAGGCGCGAAGAAGAGGCTTTGTCGGACTTCGCGAGTGTGTACTGTGTCGAGAGGCTCAAGACGCCGGACGGCCGGAGAGAGCGACTGTGAGAGAGAGGCGACGAGTGATGGAGTGAGTAGGGATGGTGCGGTTGTGGCTGTGCGAGAGCGAGATGCAAAGGGACAGAAATTTCTCTTTTCTCAAACCTAATCCCTATTCCCTAATTTACATTATATACTATATATATGATATATAATTTTTATAAAAAAATAAAAGACAAAAATCAGCCTGGGGCAGGTCGGGGCGGGCCGAGATTTAAGACCCGGACCTAGCCCGCTTATCCTATGGGTCGGACTTGGCCCGGCCCGTTATAGAAACGGGGCAAATTTTCCCTGCCCCAAATGCTCCGGGTCAGGGCGGGTCGGACCGGGTCCAGGTCGTTTTGCCATCCCTAGACTCGCGCGTATATTTATTTGGTGCAAGAAAGGGAGGCAATGCATACAAAATATATTTTACGACCTTTTGAGGATAGGACACGTCGATCATATCGTGAGTTAATCGTACACCAGCCCTCGACGGTGGGTGCTCCAATCTATGAAGACCACCTGGACCCTTCGCCTCCAAAGAAGCCAAATAGTCCGCAATAAAGTTGGCCTCTTGATATCCATAAATAACCTCCACCGATCAATGACGACCCAAAAGTTCTTGAATCCCCTTCAAAATACTCTCATGCAGCCCGCTCTAGTTGTCGACAGAGGGCGGAGGGCAAGGATAACACCCTCCGTAACGTGTCGCGTTTTAGTGTTCTGGGGGAGGGCAAGGATGAGGAGGTTCCACAACAGCAGATTTCTACTCTGAGTGCTGCCCTTGACTCGGACAAGAGTCATATAAGAGTTTTCGCCAGGGGACAACTCATGAAGATCATTATTAAAAATCCAGTTGGCAAAAGCAGAACTGACATTACAATTCCGAACCGAACTTCCCTGCTTTTCAGAGACCCGGAGCAAACAATTAAAGTCTCCACCTACAACCCATGGTCCGCTGACTCGCTGGACCAACGTGCTCAAACGATCCCATAGAGTCCGTCGTATGCTAGGAACCGGGCTGGCATAAATAAAAGTCACCTCAGCAGAAGAAGACCCAACTCATACTTAGGCGTGAACATGTTGGCGACTGCACTCTAGCACCAGAAGATCAAGCTCCTCCTTCCATAGAATCCAAATACTGCCGGAGAAACCCATTAGCCTCAACTCTGAAGGACCTAGCATAGCCGCTCCGTCGAATGACCTTGTTGGCACCCAGATAACTAATCCGCGGTCCCACCAAAGCGAAAACATCAGGGTTATAATGATTCTTTAAAGTACTAATGGCCTCCCTGAACCCGTCAGAAGCAGCACCTCGCGTATATTCATTCCTCTTGAATGCAACGAGTCCAGATGCCCCTAGTGGCTTTCTTCTTATTCGGATGAGTCTTTCTTTTATCTTTAGACTTATCGTTCGGTTTTATCGAACCCTTATGGGTTCTGAATTGATACTGAACCGATATCAGTTCGGTAACTGAATATCGGTTACCGTTACAAACGGTTTGGTTTGGTTCGGTTTACTTTCTCCTCAATTCGATTTTCGGTAAAAATACCAGCCCATGAATACCAAATCAAAAATCGTCAAAAGATGATATAAAATATGATATAAAATATGGTATTTACTAAATAAAATAATTGAGAATAAATAATATCATTTTCGTATGACAAGATTTGATTTGGGAAAGAGAAATGACAAATAAAAATCCATACTTACCAAAATTATAAATAAATTATATCAAATACCAAAACTAATTCCAAAGAAATACTACCTCCTTTTTTTATAAATGTCATTTTGGCTTTATCAACAATTGTCTAAATAAATGACGTTTTGGATCTTTTGTACATATTTTTCCATTATTACCCTTATCTAGCTAATAAATACACTACGTCTTTTCATACTTATTCTTTATCTTTTCTCAAAACATCTATCTCTATCCTCATTAATGAGAGTTATTATTGGCAAAAAAAATATTCTTAATTAGTGTGAAACTTCCCAAAACGACATCTATTAAAAAAAGGAGGAGTAATATTTATACAAAACAAACCAAATTACGAAGCAAATAATTTTGCCATATGAGTATCCGAAGTGTGCGAACTTGCCACTTAGGCTCAACACGTTTTGAATTAATATATAATGATGATATTCTTATTTATATTATTTAGATAATATAATTAGATAAGTCCATTATCACCCTTACTGATAGTTACAAACATTATTGTCGAGAAAATTACAAATAACTAACAAGAAGATTTTTTTTTTTTTTCTTATCAACAAATTACTTAGAATCAGAAATTCAGAACTCAAGAGTGTAGTAATTTTCTAACAATCAACAAAACCATTGGACCACCCTACTTCAAGTCAGAACTACAACAATGGTACTATACACTCCGTCAAATTCCATGTTGAATCCAACATTTGAAGCTCAGTCCAAGATGAGTAAAGCCTCAAAGAAGTAACTGAACAGCAGACCGACTTGCATTTCGGATTAGTCGTCTCAATAATCTCAGACGTGCCATATTCGCCTGAAACTAAGCTTATGAAAACTGGCACACCGGATAACATTGTCTAGTTCGGCTCGTCCAGCCCAATCGCCTCTAAAATATTCATCACTTTTTAAATGAGAACTATATACTTGAGCCAGAACAATAAAATCTCACCCACAAAAAAAAATGGCATGAATGAATTCATCTCACACTACACTCCACCCTGGTTCATTCTTTCTCACTCCAACTTCTCTCATCGAGCTTCTTATTCCAACCACACGCTCCCAATCGCCTGCCTCAGCACAAATATTTGAAACCGAAATATAAGCACCGGCATCAATAGGCCGCAATTCCATAATCTTCTCAGCAGCCATTTTTCCGAGCTCACGATCACCATGCACTTTGCATGCAGCAAGTAAAGTTTCCCACACCAAAATATCCGGTTCTATAGGCATATTAAAAATAAATCTCTCAGCCTCTTCCAATTTTCCTGCACGACCGAGAAGGTCGACCATGCACACGTAATGCTTTTGACCAGGCTCGATTTCATAGTCTCTGATCATTGAGTTTAAGTGAAAATACCCTTCTTGTACAAAACCTGCATGACTACAAGCAGATAGAACACCTGCAAAAGTTACACCATCGGGCTTTATTCCGGATTTCTTCATAAGATCGAACAATTGCAAGGCCTCCTGTCCTTTACTGTTATGTGCATAGCTTGCGATCATTGTTGTGAAGCTAACTAAATCTGGGTCAGTAATTTTTTTAAACACTTCAACACATGTCTCGATTTCACCGGTTTTAGAGTACATCATGATAAGTGAGCTTCCTACAGAAGATTCTGATTCTAAACCGATTTTTATGATGTAAGCATGAAAAGGAGTGCTGAATCTTGATTCACAAGAATTCACAAGAGTCATAATGACGGAGGAGATTGTGAAGGCATCGATGCTTATGTTGTTAGATGAAAGCATTTCGTGAAAAAGTTGAAGAGCCTCCTCAACGTGCCCATTCTGGGAAAACCATGAAATTAAGGAGGACCATGTAACTCGACTCTTGAATGGCATCACGTTGAAAATGATTCTTGCTGACTTGACATCACCACATTTAGAGTACATATTCACCAGTGCTTCATCAATGGTGGACTGATCGTTAAAGCCAAATCGAAGACAAAATCCGTGAATTTCTCTACCTATGCTTAGTGAACGAAGAGCAGAACATGCATTCAAAACACAAGCTAAAATCTTTTCATCAAGAATGGATTTTTCAAAACACGTGCGAAATAACTGAATAGATCTGTCCGGGCATCCGTGTTCTGTAAAACCAGCAATCATGGAAGTCCAAGAGACGTTATCTTTCTTATCAAGTTGGTCAAAGGCTTTTAAAGACTCCTCCAAGTTACCACATTTAGAATACATTGTGAAAATTGAACTCCCTACAGAAACATCAGACGCCAGGCCCACTTTTATAGTATAGCCATGAACGTGCCTCCCTAACGTTAAACTGTCAATTATGCCCATAATACTGGAGACACTAAATTTATCGGGTGTGATACCCACTTTTAGCATTCTCTGAAATAAAATGAGGGCCTTTTCATAAATTTCACTGTGAACAAATGCAGAAATCATACTAGCCCAGATACCTACTTGCTTCAGATCCTCAGATTCTGCAAATGCTAGTTCAGAATAATTAACGGCTCCTACTTTTGAATATGTGTTTATTAGAGATGCTTTCACAACAGTGTCCAAACAGAGCCCTATCTTCAGAATCCAGCAATGGATTTGTAATGTCTCGTTCAACATAGCTGGATTTGCACAAGATGCTAGTACACTAGAAACAGTGAAGCTGTTAATTTCCTCTCCCGATTTATGCATGTCACTAAGGACCCAAACAGCAGAACCCGAATCACCCTTCCGAGCAAAACCAGAGATAATGGCCGTCCAAGACACCACATTACGTACTGGCATTAGCTTAAATTGCTTGAAAGCATCATTCATAGCCCCACATTTAGAGTACATGTCAACTATAGCAGTCCCAACGAAAACATCAGCCCCGAAGCCAACTTTAATCACGCGCCCATGAACATTCTTACCCAATTTGAGCTCACCAACAGAAGCACAAGCGGTCAAGACACTCGAGAAAGTGAAATCATTCGGGGCCAACGAGCCATGGCAGCAAATTTGTCTGAAAACTCGTAAAGCGACAAAATTTTCATTGTTCTTAACCGCAGCAGATACCACAGCATTCCAACACACAATATTTTCACAGCAAGTGTCATACAGCACCCTCAAAGCGCAATCCACCATGCAACACTTTGCGAACAAATCAATCAACCCAGACCTCACGTACCCGTCCGAAAAGAACCCATTTTTCACAACCAGCCCATAAATCTGGGCCCCACGCGCCACGTGCCGCAAAGGACCACAAGCAGAAACAACGGCGCTGTAAGTGAACTCGTCCATATTTATCCCAACACTGTGCATCCGGCGGAAAAGTTCCCACGAGTGATCGAAAAATGAATTCTTGTTACAGCCAGAGATCATCAAATTCCACGTCGCTGAGTTTTTCATAGGAATTTCGTCAAACACCTTGAACGCTTGATCCACGCAGCCGCATTCTGAATAGGCGCCGATCAAATTGTTCGCGGCGTAAACGCTGGAGTAAATTACGCTGCTTTTTAGCGAGAGGGCGTGTGCTGCTTTGGTGTCTGAAAGCGTTG